CCAGACAAGTAAATGTAAATGTCCTAAATAAATTGCCATGCTCTTAGACAAAATCAAGGCACATAACTTCCAGAAAAGTAGTCTCATCTTTGGAGATGAGATTGCTAATTTCTATTTTGTCTTGTATATCCCATGTTTATTGTTCCCTTGAGAAGGTCCATCCTCCAAATATTTTTATTTGTTTTTAAAATATGTTCTGCTATGCTTAACATATAATGTGAGAGAGCCAACATTCAAAACAAGTATTTGGAAGAGCAAGTAATGGAAGTCATCAATTAAATAAATGTCATGCTCCAGAATGTAAAAATGTTCAATTTCATAATGTTTGTTTTTAGAGAATTGTTAAGAGAATAATTATGCTGCTTCTCTTATCACTTTGACCTCTCTTCAGCTGTCTTCTTTGCTTGATCCTCTTTATACTGTTGCTTCCTAAAGGTGGAAGGACTGCAAGATTCAAGATTTTTTTTTTTCCTTCTCCCTCTCCTCTGTTTTCTTCTTATTTTTCCCTTGGAGAGATCAGTCTCTTTTTGACCTGATGTCTGGTATAATGCAAAGACCAGGTAGTGTGAGTAACAAAAGGTGTTTAACCATTCTATGACTCAATTTCGTTTTCTTTCAACCAAAAATAATAATAATGCAGACTTAGAACATTGAAGAAGTCAATGAGGAATAATAACAGCAGTTATTGGATTACTCTCTACTTTTCTTTAAAAGACTACACTGCATCAGTTACTTCCACAGAAGTCCTGCGTTTTCTGTTTATCTATTTTTTTAATCCTACCATCAACAAAGACTTCTTTCTAAAACCAAATTTTGTTTTTTTTCCACTAACTGTTCTTTCTATTTTATACATTTCTCTTATTAGCATGATTGATCTGTAAGTTATTATATTACATTATATTATAATGTAAATTATATTACAGTCAAGTAATATCCTTATGTTTAAATGAGCTCACTCACTCTTTCGACTTCTTTGGTTCCCACCCTCAACCTTCTATCAGCTACTAAATTCTGAAAGTTTTTTAATTAAAATACTATTTTGATAAAGTTACTCTGTGACTCAGAAACATTCAGCAGTTCCCTTCTGTCTTAAATATAAATCTCAGATATTTTGTTTAACTGTTCAAAGTTGATCTTACACTGTAAGTTCCAGGGGGGGAAGACATTATTTTTGTTCACAGCTACTTGCCCAGTACTTACAATCCTTCCTAAAGATAGTAGTCTCTCAATAAACATATGATAAATGTGTATCTACTCATTAAAACCAGCAACCCTCTGACTATCCCCTGGCTATGCACAGCTGCAAGAGCTAATCTTATAGGATAAGTATGCTTGGAAAATGTCACAATATTCGTATAAAAAAGGAAATCTAGCTCAGTAGTTAACAGTATGCTTGTTTTTAATAATTTCTATGTAAAGGAATTTGTAAACCCTGTTTAATTGGGTTTTCAGTGTGCCTTCCTCCAATAGTGAAGGACCCCAGGAGTTTTCAAATCACTTTCGTATGGACCAGAGTACCCTGATGGTGCAGAATGTTACAGAGAGACATAAAGGAAAAGCGACTCCTTGTAAAAAAGCAAGTTGTCCATATAAGAAAGGATGTTTCTTATCTATTCCGTTCATGTAATCTCAGCAACTCTAGGATCATTATAGACTAGAGATGGGATTCTGTCCATAATCCTCCATCTCCCTCTTTTTCTAAGTAAGCTTTCTCCCTCCATTGATGTTGCACTTTCTGAAAGTATCTTTGCACCTTTGCTTTTATTATTATTTCCTACGTGAAATTTCCTCTCCATTTATTCCCAAGGCTTCTATTTGTCCTTCTTACCCCTCAAAATCCAACTGGTCAGTCATTTCCCTGAAGCATTCCAGGATGCCGTGGCCCTCATGAAGTCCTCAGGAGCTTGCCTATAAATAATGTCATTTGCCCTTAACCTGAACTGTCTTTTATCATTATTTCTCCTTTCATTTAAAATCTTCTCAACTACTCCATAAGCTTTTTAAAGACTACTGTCATCTATCATCATAACATAACAAGGCACCTTTCTGTTTGTCTTATGTCAGTTTCTTTGAAATCTAGATTTTGTTCACTGATAAGTCGCGGCTCTACCACAGGGACGACAAACATCACCTCTCACAAGAGCATACCCCAGCCTAGAGTCTGTGGTTTTTCCAAGGTACCTTTGCACTACAACACAACCATGTAGTGTAGGTGCAGGAACTGGAACCCTACATATCTCAGATGGACAATATATGGAATTTTGTGGTGCTTTCTAAATGCCTTTCGAAATTAGTAACTCTTCCCAGTCCAAGATGAAACCCTTTGGTAGATGAACAAAAATTCAAAAATCTAATGTTATTGGAAATTTTTTAATCCATATTTTTAGAAATACTGGGTCAGAGTAAACATTAAAAATGCAAACAACAAACTGATAGCTCTTTACATAGTTTATGTCCTTTTTTTTCTCCTGACTTAGTAGCCTATTGTTGAAGTATAACCCTGGGCATTTTTATTATAATACTTTAACAAATAGTTAAGAAATCTTTTTCCTGAAAAATACTCTCAAGTCCAACACATTAAGAATATTCTATAAATCTCTGACAATGAAATTGAAATAAACATGAAATAGCATCAATCTTCATTATTCAGATCCATATCTGCAAATTTGCCTACTCATTAAAATTTATTCATAACCCCAAAATTAATATGGCTCTTTTGCAGTCATTCATGTTATACCCAGAGTGGCAAAAACTTTGAGTGATGCACACATTCCCAGATGAGGTCAAACAAGGCGACTGCCTTTTTTCATCAGCTCTCATACTGTAAACAAGTGTACTTTTTAGGTCTACCTTTTTACTTTTTTAATGCTTTTTGTTGGTGATTTCATTGTTTAAAATGGCCCCCGAGTATAATTCTGAAGTTCTGTCTAGTTTTCCTAAGCACAGGAAGACTGTGATTCGCCGTATGCTTCGTTCAGGAATGAGTTGCACCTATTGGCTGTGAGTTTTATGTTAATGAATCAACAGTGTATATTAAATCAGGTGCCTTTAAACAGAAACATACATAAAACAATATTATGTATTGATTAGCTGACAAAAATGTTGTCACCAGAGGCTCACAGGAACCTAACCCCATGTTTCCTCTAAGAGGAGTGGTTCACTATTCATTAATTCAGTGTTTACAACAACTTTATAGAAAATAACTCCTGTGAATGATGAGAATCATCTGTATGTAATATTTGAGTTTGGCACCATGATCTCGTCATGTTCATTGTTTTAGATGTTAGAATTTTTACTCCATAGGTTGTGTGTAGAACATGCCTACCCAGTTGTGTGTAAAGATGGTTTAGAAATTGAAATGACCATAAATTGTAAAAACTGTAGTAATATCTATCTACCTTATGTCTACTTTTAGACTTTATTTCATTTTTCATGTTGTTGTTGAGGGCATCTATTAATTATTTTTCAAACGGTGCACAGTTATTCCTCAAAAAGACTTACGAAGTAGGTATTATATCTCATTTTAAAAATAAATTGAGACATAGAGATTAAGTAATTCTCACAGCTAGTAAGTGACAGAATCAGTATTTTAATCCATATCTGTCTGATCCCAAAGCTCTTTTTTTTTGCTCCCCCCGCCCCCCATGTGCTATTTTTTTTTTTTTTAGTAGACTATCTTTGGTACTAGAATACACTTTTCTTTTGAAACTTATAACACTAAGAAAAGTATTATTTAAAATGTAATAAATTCAACATTGATTAGAGACATTTCTTTGGGGAATACATTTTAAATTTAAAAATTAGTGATAAATATATAAAAGAGGTAGAAATAATTCTCTGTTTCCCATCCCTCTGGTCTAGAATAAGAATGGATGATTCTGTAAATCCTCTTTGTTTGTTGAGCAAAAAAGGACAGATTTTTCAAGGTCAGATCAAGTTTAAATATTATGAGAGTTTTTTTGTAATTAAATGTTTTAATTCATTTCTTCTGTGTAAAACTTTTAATGAAAGGAAAAGGAACTTTCTATCTAAATAACAATATTTGGTACATATTTTAAACCTCTGATAATATTCTAAATCAGAATCAAGAACAAAAAAAAAGCTTAAATTCTTGTTCAGTTATCTAAGCACATTGGCATATAAGCCTTAGTTCATCAAAACAAAACATCCCTGTTTGTTTGTTTTTTTCCTCTTTATTTAAATATTCTAGGGAGGTTAAATATGTTATGAGAACCCACATGTAAATAATCTTTCATAAGGTTGTAAAAATGGAATTGAAATATTTTTACATTCTCACCATTTTACTTTGATATACTTTGATCTTGCAACTTTTACATTAGAACCAAAAGCCAAAACTGGGTGATCTTGCAGGGAATGGAAAGTGAATTCTCAAATTTTTCAAGATTAACAGTGATTGCAACATTTATTATTAATCAGCTTTAAACAAATATCAAACTTTTGTTGATTGCTCTAAGGTTTGCTTTTAACCGGTATTTTTACATTTCACAATGGTCCTACTTTTAAAAAAAAATGCAAATTTTTTATAATAGCAACCATTTATTTATGTTGTTTATTTTTTGATGAAAGAAATTTTAGTTATTTCCCTTCTTTCAACTGCCAAGAGTATTTGCTATTCATAGATGAACTATCTTCAATAAAGTCCATCAAAGTGTAAAACTAGATGGGTATTTTTATTTCCTTTAAAATGGAATGGTCTTTCATTATGTAGTGTTCTTAGGTGAATCCCCTTGTTTAAGAAGCCAGAATACAAGAGAGTGCTATATTAGTGTATTATTCTCACAACAAACAAGCACTGTTCTGTTGCTACCTGCTTGGCCATTGTTTCTGATTGTGTGTGCTTTGCAGTGGTATTTGGATGGTTTCCTGCTCTCTGCCAGCACAAAAAGGCATTTCTGTTACAATGGCCCCTAACCACACAATGACGGCATTAAGGATTTATGTGGAGGTTTCATTATTTTCCCCTCTTTTGTTCCTTCCAGGATGTCTTCCAAGCGGCCAGCCTCTCCGTATGGGGAAGCAGATGGAGAGGTAGCCATGGTGACAAGCAGACAGAAAGTGGAAGAAGAGGAGAGTGATGGGCTCCCAACCTTTCACCTTCCCTTGCATGTGAGTTTTCCCAACAAGCCTCACTCTGAGGAATTTCAGCCAGTTTCTCTGCTGACGCAAGAGTCTTGTGGCCATAGGACTCCCACTTCTCAGCACAATACAATGGTAGGTTTCTCATGGTCTATTGTGCTTACACTCACTTCTTGACCAGTCTACTTCTCTGATATATTTGGCTTTGGTCCTTTGCTGTATAAATATCATCCACTTACAAGTCATAGCCAAAATTCACTCCTAGCAACTTAGAATTCTTTAAAAATAAATTGATTTCAGTGGGGAGTATAAGATATAGTATTTCCTTTTTTATCTTTAAGACTCCTGATTTTGAGACACTTACAATGTAATTTGAGGGGAAAACTGTATGAAATATAAGAATTATGTTAAAATGGCACATTTAAAATTCGCCAACAGGAAAGTCAGATGTCATACTATTTCTCATAAAAAGTTTTTCCAGATACAGTTACAACAACATAGTTTGAACATTTCTACCATGATAAATCAATCTTTTTCCATTTTCTCCTCTGCCCATATTTCATTCCAGTCTTCCTTATGGTACTTTGGATTTTTCAGAAAAATATATTTCGTAGAGCCTACAGTTTTCTTGGAGCCCTGGTGGTGCAGTGGTTAAGGGCTATGGCTGCTAACCAAAAGATTGGCAGTTTGAATCCACTAGCCAGTTCTTGGAAACCCTATGGGGCAGTTCTGCTCTGTCCTATAGGTTGCTATGGTCAGAATCAACTCGATGGCAACAGGTTTATATATATATATATATACTTTTCTAGTGTGACAACACTTATCTCTAACTCAATCCCATTCACACTGGTGTTTTCATAAATCAGTAATTTCCTGGTGCACCCTATTCCAGAATATGTAACTCAGGACAATTGTTCTGGCACCTTATCCTGGGACCTTGATCACTGCAGAAGATTAGGAAGCTGTGGCTTCCCAGCTGAGAAGGGAGAAGGCAGCATAGCATCTTTGAAGCTTAAACAGCACACACATACACACACACACAATAAGCCTTTTCAGTCTTCCTTAGGAGCTCAGAGCCATGGAATCAGCATATTGAAAGGTACCTGGCACTTACCTGCCAGTAAAGCCACCTTCACTTTTTGAACATGGCTGCTTGGGCTGGATGTTACATTTTTGTGACCACTCCTCTTTTTCTTCTTTCAAGGCTACCAGTACTGTTAATTTGAACCAGATTTTCACCAACATAAATATGTTTTATCACACATTCTCGTATCTTTAAAAACAGCTGTGATTCTGTTGAATCTTTTTTCTTTTTTTTCTCCAGGAAGTTATTCTATATTGTAAATGCGCTTAGTACTGAAATATGCACACTTGTTCATGCTATTACATTACTGTATATGGAATTAAATCAACAGGGTGAATCAGATGTCTTCCTATAAGTGTAGAAAAGACACTATTCTCTGATTTTCACATTAGATTTAATACTCCAATTAAAGGAGCTTGGTGGCACAGTGGTTGAATTCTAGCCTTACAGATCAAAATTTCTTCGGGAATTTCACTGTGTGCCAAGATTTTTCTACTAAGAATATTGGTTTGGCTAACTCATATGTATCACTGCCTGTGTGGGAGGTGTTGTTTTAAGTACTTTACATATATTAACTCATTTAACCTTCACAGTAATTAAATGTGTTATTATTAACCCTATTGTATAGATGGGAAACTTAGTCACAGAGAGGTTAAGTAACTTCCTCTATATCCTAACTATTAAATGGGGGAACCAAGGTTTACCCAGGCAGCCTGGCTTTGGAGTCCATGCTTATAAAACTTATGTAATGCTGCTTCTCCATAAGAGCACAGACATATTTTATTTTCTGAATATCTATTATTTTGCAAGTTAAAAAATACTGTATATAATCCCTCTCTGTCCCTCCATTATGATTTCATGTTAGTTAAGTGACAATGGTGTAGCTTATTGGCCTCATCTCATTAAGAACAGAAAAGAAAGGAGAAAGATAAGTAGTGCCCTGTTCAACGGGGTAAGGTAGTTAGCCTCTGCATTTGCCATTGCACTATTGTAAATACCTTTTTCCTGCTCAGTATTTTGACCATTTTCTCTCTCAAAGAGTACCCTATTGACAATGCACCTTGGTTAGCTTTTCCTGGGATAGTACTATCAACATAAACATACAGATTTGAAGGAGAGATTATTTTAAGTATACACAAAAATAGATATGACAAAAGTATATTAAATTGCATATTATAGTTGACATGAGGGGAGGCTATGATGCAGGCAATTAGTGAAAATAAAACCATTCAGGTTTTATTGGAGAATTCAGTCCAACTAGAAAAAAACTATGAATTGCCTACTGTGTACCAAGGTTTTGATGAGGACTATGGAAATAGATTTGAGAAATGCATAATATTTTTCCTCAAGGAACACTATCTAGAGCAGGCGTTCTTAACTGGAGGTCTATGGATTTCCGGAAGACAAATGGAAAATCCTGTATGTATGAGAGTATTTCATGAAGAGTATGTTTTTCATCAGATTCTCAAGTAGTTCTGCAACCTAAAGGTTAAGGCCTGATGTTCTAGAATTTAATACACTTTGTAGAAAAATGATTCACCTTAGTCTAGTTTTAATGATACCGGCTTTGACTCTTTTTCTTACTACATGTCTAATTAGTTTCTAAATTTGTTTCTGCCTCAAATGTTTCATGATTCCACCTGCTTTTAATCTCTTGAGTAGACAGTTGCAAAAGTCCCCTATGTGATTGCAAATTTATACCTTCTTCTCTTTCTAATCTTTCTTCCAACTTCCACGAGACCTGTTTCCCTGAGAAACGAGTTGGATTGTTTGCTTTTCTTTCGAAGCTAATGTGCATCCTGATTGTCTACAAGGTTTAGTTCGAAACTCCTTATCTTGGCATAAAATTCTGTGTAGACTAGCACCAAACTATGGCTTTGGTCTCCTCTGTTACCATGCTTTGTTATGGACCCAATGCTCCAGTTACGCCAAACTTATATTCATGAGCATACCAGATAACTTTTAAATTGCCCAGCTCTATTCTATCACCTAGTCAACTCTATTTTCATATTTTATCTCTTGGGGAGCATGTTTCTCCCACAAGACTAGGTTCAAAAATTGCCTCATCATAAATGCTGTCACTGATTTCCCAAAGCATAATTGCTGTATTATTCTTTTTTCCATGACACTTGTTTATATCTTTTCTAGTAGTGTACATTATAATTTATGCATTTATATGTCTGCCTTCCTATACACTGTATTTCTCTTTGAAGGCACAGACATAAACATATTTGTATTTCTGGTGCTTCGTAAAAAACAGACGATTTATGATTATTGACTAAATGGCTGAGTTTATATGAATGAGTAAATAACAATATACTTCAGGCAAAGCTGTTAAAGAGGCTAATTGATGACAACTATGTTGATTTTTCTGGAAATTTTGGAACTAAAATAGAATCTACCAAAGTCTAGTAGATTCAGAAAACAAAAGGTATATAACCCTAGTCGTATTAGGTATTAAGCTGGTTAAGATATTTTTCCCATTTATTAAAATGACTGAATATATTATTGTATTATTATTCAACATGAATACTTTATCCATTTTTGGATATTAAGCCATTCTTATATATTAACATAATAAGTCCTTTTATTTCAGTAGGAAAATACATTCTCTATTTTATTCCTATTCATTGTCTTTGAAAACACAGAGGATGTCTCATAGTCTGTATATCACTGAGTTCAGTTTAAGAAGAAAAAAAGATAAATTTCATTGCCTATTTATACGTGACATTCATACTCCATTCTCAAATAGAGAAGAAAGATGTTGGGAGTTCTACATATGGTATTGCCTCATAGGTCAGAGACAAAGTAAAACTGAATGAGCCATGTCGTTCTGGCTTTAAATTATAGAGAGATAATTTCAATATAAAACTTAAGTTAGGAAATATTTCCTGAAATAAAAGCTTTGTATACTTCATGACTGTTGCCTTGTAAAGCTTCTGAAGTATTAAGATTCCTTGTTCAGATTGTTGGTATACAATTATTAAGGTCCAAAATTGGACTAGATCAGGAGATAATTCTTCCTTTCTAAGGATGTGTTTATTGCCTCAGTATTTTGGAAAAATAAAGTAAGGGCCTAACTGAGAGCAATTCCCAAACAACTGTAACTGGTATGATTGCCACAAGTCCATCTATTTCTGGAAGATTTTACTCACTGTTCAGCGTGCACTATGGATAAACTGTCCTAAGAAGATTATATATGTATATTCATAAAATACAGTCATGTTTCTAATCAATATGAGATTGGGACACAGATTATTACATGTCTGTGAAAAAAGACTGATACTGCTGGTTCCTTCTCTGAAGCTCTCAGAACATTTCTAAGCAATGAATAGCAAAATTTGATTCTCATATAATCTTTAAAAGTGAAAGACAAGGTTGGCAGATGTGAAGGTCTGATTCTGACATGAGTGGAAAGGCAGTCCTGCATTTTATTCTTATTGAAGGTCTGATAGTCCCTACTCCCTTTGTTTTTCTTATGTGGGTGTGGAGGCCGTCACTTCTGAGTTTCAGAGACAAGCAAGAATCACTGTAATTTCTGGCTCATTTTTGATGATAGTTCTAATATAGATGGATTTATTTGATGATGCGAAGGACCATCCAGAACATGCCCTCATGTCAGTAAACATGAGTAGTTATGAACACCAGAAGAAATAGAGTAAGTCTAAAGAGAAGTCAGGTGGCACCATCAGGAGCAGCCAGGGAACCCTGTACTGGCCATTGTGGAACTCATTCCCTGTCTGGTGGCCTGCCACTGCTGTTGGTTAGATTGTTGTTTAG